AAAAGTTTATACAAAGTATGTAGTATATTCAGATAATCAATAGATAGCAACAAATGAACGAAATGGTACTCTTTAAGGCCATTGACAATAAATGAAGAAGCTTCTTGGATGAGAAGCAAAACGTTTGCAAGGAAAAAAAAAAACCAAAGTCCAGTTGCCTTAGGAAAAACATCTTTGGGACAGCCATGACCTGGATGACTGAGAATCATTTTGCCATTGACTAATTCTTTTTTTTTTTTCATTCTAGATCAAGTGGAAAAATTCAGTGTAGGGTTTAAAGCAATCTAAACAACCACTTTCTAAGAACAGAAAAGACAGCAATAACTATGTTTTTATTGCCAGCTTATAGAATGTTCAAAGGAGGTGTCTGAGGACTAAACAGGTTTAGTTTTAATTTAGCAGAAATTTCACTGTGCTGTTATATTATACTGACCAGCAACCTCTAATACAACTTGGTTTTTGTGAGTATGTATGAGGGCAATTTGGAAATAAACTTCCATTTGGTTACAATGACAGATACTCTCAGATACAGAACTACACATTAAAAAACTACAACATTACATTACTTTTCGACATAATCGCCATTCAAACTGAGGCACATCATAATGTCTTACAAGGTTTGAATTTCCTTAGTAGTTCCTCGGCACCAAATCAGGGTTATGGGGGGTGATCAAAAACATCCTAATGGAACTGCTTCAAAAGTTCTTGAGTGTGTCTAGTGGTATGTGGGCGAGCATTACCGTGAACCAATACTACACTGGAAGTCAGCATGCCCCAACACTTGTTATGGGTGGCTTGTCTGAGTTTTCTTAACATTTCACAGTAGACTTCTGAATTGTTGGTTGAACCACGCTCCATGAACTTCACTTTGGCATCTTCACATTTGGTGAGATTTTCTATGGCACCACTTTCAGTGTGGTGCTGGTCCACGATAATGCTCACCCGCACGCCACTAATTCTGTTGGGATGTTTTTGATCAACCCCCCGCCATAGCCCAAATTTGGCGCTGAGCAATTACTAAGGAATTTCAAACCTTGTTTAAGACATTATGACAAGTGCCTCAATTTGAATGGCGATTATGTCAAAAAATAATGCAATGTTGTAGTTTTCTAATTTGTATAATAAAAGTTCTGTATCTGCAAGTGTCTGTCATAGATAACCAAACAGAAGTTTATTTCTGAATTGCCCTCATAATACAAAGATACTGCCTTGTTTTATTTTACTGGGGTAAGTTTGTCTCAGTCATATATTTGCCCTTACAACATAAAGTTATGTAAGACTCCATTGTATTTTAAAGATTTCGTTTCATTTTAGTTCTAAAAAGTTCAAGGATAAAAGGTTATGAAGGACTCCAAAGTAGCACTGTCTCAAAATACTAGTACTGTTTTTTTAAATGAATAGACTCTCCCTCCTATTTTGCACATAATCCATCACTCAGAAGTTTATCAGAATAGTAATATATTCAATCAATCTTTTTTCTCTAATATGAACCTGATATTACAAAGTCAGACCTCATAAAATATGCTATGACAGCTCTTTATACTTTTGATCAGGGGTCTTCAAACCCGGCCCTTTTATGACTTGTGGACTTCAACTCCCAGAATTCCTCAACCAGGCATGCTGGCTAAAGAATTCTGGGAGTTGAAGTCCACAAGTCATAAAAGGGTCAAGTTTGAAGACCCCTGCTTTTGATTGTAGAATTGTCCTCTAAACTCAGTGAACAGTAATTTGGTTGAAAACAAGATGCAGAAGTGACATCAGTATCCTAACCATTTTTTTCAGGTTAACCACATCAAATATCATTAGCACAGTCATTTGAAGGACAGGAAAAACCCCAACAGGTAACACCACTTCCTTTCTTGCATTGTTGCTACTTCATTTTAAGTAGACTTCAAAAGGCAGTTTAATATGATTTAATTCCCCCTCCTTCCCACCACCATTAATCTGCTTGATTCATATTTCCTCATGACAACATATGTATTAATCATTTGTGACCTGAAAAGTATGATGAGCAATGGTGAATACATTTTGACAGTCAGGTTCAAAGCACTATAGTTCAGAGCAATCCAATTTGGTGCCTTTACCCTGCCAGTACAGTTCACTGGAGTTGGGTAGTTGTAATACATTTAGATGATAAATTTAAAAATGCACTGAGAATTTTGGAAAAACTGGTCTGTTAGCTTGATGCTGATGAAGGCAAATATCAAACAACCATAGAAACAAAATTAGCTGGCATCTCACACAGCAATCCCTTTCATTCAAAAAGTCAGATTAAATATAATATTTGGAAGCTGGGGTAGAGAATTTTAAACCAGTTACTGCCTTTACATTGGGAGGGAGTACCTGTTGAGAACTCAAACAACAATCAATAGCAAGCCTCGGAAGAAGCCACAAGGCTGCAAACATTGCAATTCCACAAAGGGGAAAAAACTTAATGGAAATATTATTTCCTTTTTTAAAAAATAAAATTTGAAAAATGTAGTTGTTTGGTGACTTCTGGGCATTCTCTGTTGGTAAAAGTATAGATAAAAATTATAAACATAATGAACACTGACCCAATATTTTATTACTAGCTATAAATATTTGACACAGAGATGTGAAATTTATAGCTCTTTACTAGATATATTTCTTGTAAGCAATTTTTCTCCAATAGTAGAATATTGTTATTGTATTTTATTGTAGTTTAATTACCATTTTCCTCTTACTTTGCCTACTTTGCTATATACTGAAATTTCACTTTTCAATGCAGCCAGATTTATGTATCAACCAGAAATAGTGTATGTAACTGAATAACAGGTTTGAAATGTATAGGAGTCCAATTCTTTTTCTAAGTTCTTATGAGTCACTGTAAGAATGTAGTTTCTCAGTTTAAAATTTCTTTATTCGAACAGGCATTCATATATAAAGAAAATAATAGTATTGCTATTCGTGTGTGTGTGTGTGTGTGTGTGTGTGTGTGTGTGTGTGTGTGTGTATTCTCTCTCTCTCTCTCTTTCTGTCTCTCATACAGAATTTCAATTTACCACTGAAAAGCAAATGGACCACAGAGAGCCACAGAAACATTTTTCTGTCACAATGTGACATAAAAATGAAAGGTCAGCTATTGTTATTTATTGAACTATTGTTTTAAAGAATGAATAAATTTCAATTTAGATCTGGCCTGTTATCTGTATGGGTATTCCCAATAAAGATCCATTGGGTAGATTTGATGGCAGATTTATTGTAGCTGCTCTGACTACAATGGTTAAAAATTGCCCAAGTATGACATCATGGTAAAAGGAAGTATTACTATATCACCAAACAGGATATCCGTCCTTATAATCATTCATAACAACCATGAAGAATTGCTTGGTGCCAGCAAGACTCCATACTATTATTCTGCATCAAGAAAACCTTTTAATAAAATATGTATTGCATTAAATGACAGCATGTTTACTTTCTAAAACAAAAAAATAAGCATCAGAAGTTCTGCCTTCATTGAGACTTTGATATAAAGACAGAATACACCATTTTTTCCCCAGCCGTAGCTTCCCAAGATGTCCTTCACACATACACACAGTGCAAGGTTTCTAGAAAAAAAGCAGTTTGGAGGTATGAGAGTAATAAAAATTAGATACTGTAGCCACAATGCAAGCTAAGTTAAAAATAAATCAAATTGTAATCAACTGTTGGAACGCCTTGATTTCATTGCCCAAACAATGGGGGAGGGTTATATGTGTACAAAATAAAATCTCACAAGATCAACACATATCATAGAATTTGGGTCATTAACTCATGCAATATCACATGATATTACTTATTCAGCTCAACAAGAAGTGCTTATAGAAGTTGTGAAAAATTGAAATGTATTTTTAAGATTAGAGTTAGCTACAATTCTGGAGAATCCCAAAGATGCTTTTTTTCAAAGGCAATTAGACTTTCTTGGCTTTTGCTTGAAGACATTTTGCTTCTCATCCAAAAAGCTTCTTCAAGTTCTGACTTGTTTAAGAAGCTTTAACAGAAGCCTCCTGGATGAGAAGCAAAACATCTTCAAACAAAAACCAAGAAAGTCCAATTGCCTTTTATAAAAAAAAAAAAAAAAGCACCTTTGGGACAACCATGACCTGATGACTAAGAATCTCCATAGATGATTTTGGAAGAATGCTTGTGAAATACAAAAGACAGTAAATTGTCTAATAAAATATTTCACAGCATATGCAATTAGTTTTACTCTCTAAAAAGATGGGATAGATGATTAAATAAATACCAAACACTACAAAGTTTATGCAACATGGTTCTATTTAAAGTAGTTTCAACCATGGCACTCAGTGACAGCAATACAATATTTTCTTCACAAAGCAATGAATACAAAAATATGCCATAAATTCATTTGTAAACTAGTATTCTAATACATATACGTCATAGCAACGCACATGTTTATATAACATCTTCCTGAGATACTTTGGGTGGTTTTCATTTTATTGTGTTAGATTATCTTTGATCAGTTCAAAATAGTGGTGCAAGTGGGACATTAATATAAAGAAAATGCAAATAATAGGTAGAGGAGCAGCTCTTACACATACTTCCTCTGAAAACATGGAACACACACTGTGTTCTTAAACATTTGACTCTTTCTGGTTGAGAAAAAGTGAGGTGAAGTTTAATTTAATAATCTAGAAAAAAGCAGCAGAGTGTTTCAGGAATGTTAGAGGTGTAGTAGAATACAAATGATAGAAAGGAAAAATCATAATTCTTTTGACTAGACATTTTCTGCAGAAGCATTTGTACATGCTGTACTCAGTTCACAGTTTCAGTTATCAACACTAATCTGTCTTGGAAGAGCAAATGTCTTTTAAAGTTTCTAGCTCTTCTATAAGTTTCTTGTTTTGAACTTCTAACATTGCAACACGACTCTCCAGACATTTCACATATTCTTTCTTCCTTCGTCGACATTCTTTTGCAGCTTCCCTGAAAAAAAAAAAAGGTAAAAAGGGCAAACAGAAAAGCTTTTGTGACATGCTACTGAGATAAGGTTAGGATGGGTATGGTGCAGTGACCACGGTCAATACAATATGGAGGCAGTGATGCTTTCCAAAGATTAGAAATCACACATCTTTTTAGAAAAAAGACCTAAGAAAAGCCAAGATCACAATGACCACACACTGCCCCTTTCTTAAGGGTCACTTGGCAATCTGTAGAATTGCTTCATCTCATGCCTTGATTACTGTTCATAGTAAAAAGTTCCACAGCCAAATGCCAGTTACTCTGCTTTATGGCAATAAAGGTCTTTGAGGGCCTTGAGTTCCTCAATGAGAGTCTTGTTTTGATTTTCAAGCACAGCCACACGATTTTCAAGACATTTGACATATTCTTTCTTCTTCCTGCGACATTCACGAGCAGCTTCCCTGGAACCAATACAAGGCAAGTGACTACTCAAGCTACAAGGCAAAGAAAACCTGGATAGATAGAATAACCTGACACCAGAAAAGCTGAAGTGACTCAGTAAAAGCCAAATCAAGTACAGCATATACTAGTCACAACAAAAATTCAGACCACAGTGCTCTAAATACAATACAGACAGAAGACACCGTATAGCACAGAGTGAGACGAAGCTGTTATAAAATCAATTATGAGATATTGTCACTTGCTTTTGTAAAGCACTATTACCAAATATGCATCAAAGTAGCAGTTCAGTATCTACAACCCCCACAGCATCTATTCGCATATTAAGCTCACATGCTTAAACAAGTAGTTCAATCATCTCGGAGTATACCTGCATAATGTTAGGAAATTATCTTTGGCAAAGAAAACACGCTACCTTCTCTCTTCAGCTTGAAATTTTCACTTCTCTCTTCTGAAATGTTTTGTCAATTGTCCCCATTTTTATCAAAACCAATAATATTAAAGTGAATATAATATGAACTAATATTTATAATTTAAACTTTAAACTTTACTATAATAATTAAGGATGAATAGGAGGTTAAACTTTTATACTTCCTGCTGCTGTTTCATTAATCTCATTCCAGATTTTTTAATTCTCTAAAACCACTAGCCTGTGAGTGGGAGATGAAGAACCAAACCATCATCATTGGTTACCTCTTTAAATTATATATTTTACATATATGTTACTGTTTTTAAGGCCTTTGTAAAGGCCACTATATGGAACCTTTTGTTAAAGCACTGAACAAAAATGTTTAAAATCAATATAAACTCCCTAACTAATATGGAATACTGTGATGACATTAACACATCTGAACTTATTTATCTCAAAACTACACATTTTATTTTGGAGTCATCCCTGCTTTAATTTTTGCAAGGATAAAGCATTTTTCCTTGTACATAGTTATGGGTAAGATCAAAGAATCCCTAAGATCTTTGACAGGACTTTTCAGGAAATACAGTCTGAGAGGGAAGCTCAAAAAAATTACATGAATGAGAAAAGTATCTACAAGTGCTAAGCAAGAATGTTGGCTAGTTGATAGTATGTACTTATGCCAGAATTAAAATAAGCTAGCATATAGTACTTAATTGCCACTAAAATAGATACTAGACAACCTGAAGAGAGAAGAACAAGAGATGGAAACTAAGACATTTCTGGATTAGCAATTTGAAATTAAAAGGCATGAGAAAAAGCAATACCATGAAAACATTAAGCAACAGTGGGGTTAGTTACAAGGAGTTCAGCTTCTTCCAGTAAAGCACATGACAACAATATCCACAAACACTGACAGTTGACAATCAGTACAATGATAACACCAACACACATACAGGAAGTAAATAAACAAAAGGTTAATTTAGCCCGAACAATGTACAAAATTTACTAAATAAGGTGAGAAATGCAACCTAAAGGTCGCACCCAAACTCTTAAAAATGAATCTATTACAAGTACAAGAGGGCATTCCATGGTGAATTTATTTGCTGCAATAAAATATAGACCTGCAAAAAAGCTTCACCCTTCTTCTATTCTATAAAGTTTACAAAATCATAGGCTTCAGTAAAACAGAATCAAAACAGAATTTCCTATTTAAACAAATAACACTCAAATAAATGTGCATATAAAAAAGTAGATGTATCAAGCATTCTTTAAAGAATAGGCATTCCTCATTTAACAAACTCATTCAATGACTGTTTGAAGTTATGGTAGCACTGAACAAAGAATATTTACAGTGAATCCTCATATTGTAGCCACTGCAGTGTCCCATAATCACATGATCACATTTGTGACATTCAGTGCCAATCCTGCCAGCTTCTCTATTGACAAGCTAAGTCAATGAAGAAGCTGGCAGGAAGTCACAAATAGTGATATGACCATGGGACAACACAACTGCGCAAGATTCGCCTAACTACAGTAATCAGGACTTTTAGAACTGCCGCTAGAAGTCAGCACTACCAAGTGCCTTAACAGTGGAGTTCCCAGTCCCAATTACTGTCAGTAAGTTAGAATTATCTGTATTAGAAGATGCAGCTTACAGTATACTGAATGTATGATACTATAATCTGTTTCTGTGTGAGTGAGAATCTTTTATTTTTATTAATGCAATGGACTTTCTAAGTGGAAAATGTGTATAGTATGGGATAGTAGTTAAAGTACTACACTAATGCAGGAAGTGTTTGGGAGATACAAGTTCAAGCATCTCCTGCCATGGAGCTCACTGGGTGATTTTGGACTTGTCACAACTTATTCCTAAGGGTTGCAGGAGAAAAAAATGGAGGAAGAGCACTATTACTATAATTAATATAATAGTTATATTATACTTGTCAGATAATAACTATGAAACACTCAAGATTTATCATTCAAAGCCATCAATAGTTTTCTATGCAAAATATAAAGCTGTTATAAAACACTATATTGTAAGCTATGCCACCATGTGTACAGCCATCTGTAATTCTTTAGAAATTGAAGGAATTAAAAGTCCTTTTTCATACTGGTTGGTATTGGGAATTTGTATTATATTCATAAGTACTAATAATATAAATAGTTTTTAAATATTCCAAACTGCCATCACTACATTGTGGAAAAATTTAACAGGCAGGTTCAAACCAGTTAACAAGAGGAAGTTGGGAGTTGGATAATTTAGACTTCTGATAAGAATTGCTTAAGAGTGTAACTGTATAGTAGCCAACAATATTTTTGGATTGACAATTGAGGTGATGCAGAAAGAGAGATTGCTCTCTTCCCTAGCAGTTACATAAAAAGCTGCATGGCCCTCTGTGTAAAAACCAGCTGAGCAATTTACCTTTGAAACAGTCTTTTTAGCACTACTATTTCTTTGCCGCTGATTCTGGGAAATAAACTCTAGCGGTTAATTTAAATTCTAATTGGTACCTATTTTTCATAAGCCTTAGTTCTCTTTTACGTGTTGCTTCTTCTGCTAGCTGCTGTGGGCTATGCAGTGTTCCTGGGGAAGCTGCCATGACGACTCCTTGAGGTAAGGCTGTGGTTGGAGTACGGATTTGGTAAGTTGGCATGTCACCTGTAGCCGCTGCAATTTCAAAAAAGACATTACAATTCAAAGGAAAATAGCATAGTTTATCATCAAAACAAACAAAAAAATAAGAAATGTTCTAGCATGGCATCTGCCATCAAGATTTCTACGGTTTTTATTTGGATGTTTGGATATTTAAATAAAACAGCCCTAGAAAATCACAATGAAAATAATACATTTATCAAAAACTTCAAAATTTAGAAAAGGTGGGAATTAAGTAGCCTGTTTGTTCTTCTACTGAATGAATTTTATTCAGAAAAAGCAAGACATAGCAGAAATATTATCTTTTTTTTCTCATCAGTTTGCTTTATGTTTCAAAAAAAATAATTTAATCTTAAAGGGACAGATGAAGAAAAGAAATACACACAAAGCATAATGCCATATGAATGTAAAGGAATGAAGAAGCATAGAAGTCATTCATTGTACCTGACTATTGCAATACATGATTTTAAAGAAAGGAATAGTTCAACACTAAGTAAATAGTAAGTTAGGTATGTAGGTGCCCTGCTAAAACTGCAGAATAAAGTTGAACATGATCTATTCCACCTCCCTTCTGATTTGCAGAATCTAGAATATCTCTAACAATAGTGAGAGATCGTTGCCACAGTGTACGATAATTTCTTGGTTTAATAGGGCTGTGTCTCTTCAAATGATTCGATCAAAACCCTTTCTCATTTAGTTTATTTTTTCCTGTTCATTTTCCCATCTCCATCACACACCATCCGTCTTTTTGCCAGGATCCATACTCTCAATGCATACTGAAATCATTTTGCATATCAATAGTCTTAACTTCTTTCCTCTGAATAGATTTTTACACTTTTCTTCAACAAACATTGTCTCTTCCTTCTTAACCAAAGTGTCTATGGAGAGTCTCAGTCACCCAGATCATAGTTATTCCAAAGATGCTTTTTCACGAGCAACTAGACTTTCTTGTCAAGAAAGTCCAGTTGCCTCATGAAAAAACATCTTTGGGATTTCTAACCCAAGCTTATACAACATATAGCCCACAAGCTGCATGTGGCCCACCAAGTAGCCTTGTGCAATCTGCCAACTTTTTATAAAAATTAAATAAATTCACTACTCTACCACTAGACATTGTCATCCTTAGTAAGATTCCAATACCTTAAAAAAAACCTGAAAAACATGCTGCTAAGTATTTCTAATTCCTCCAGACCTTTACCAGCTCCATTATTGCTGCACACCAGGTATTTCCTCCTTTGGACAAAAATCATCCTTAACAAAACCAGAGTCCACATCTGATCATACGACAAATATTTTGGACCTTTAGACTGGGACTTTTTTTTTAAAAAAAATGTATGAATATAAACTAATGGGATTTTTTTAAAAGACAAAATTACTAATCTCATTTACCTATCCTAATCTTGCTGCAAAATATAAGTTCCTATCTATGTTTTTTTTTTTTGTAAGCTTGTGCACAACAGGGCAAATTCTATTTTTATTTAGAATCTAAAATCAACTGATGTACTTTAAATCAACATATAAATTATAGGAGAATGGGAAATGACTATCTTCCTGCATAACGAATAAAGACAAATCTTTAATTCATAGACTGTCTGTATATAGCCATCTGAAAGGGAAGAAAGCTAGATCTGTGAAGCAGCCTCAGATCCCTGAATTAAACAAACATGCTATAATTTCCAAATTATATTCTCTGTAACACAAGAGCAGGTAGTAGGAAGCCATTCTTGGCACTTCATGACAATTGCCCATTGATAATTGGGTTCAGCAATACATAACTTGAAATATGTAAAGTACAAGAAAACTGGGGAGAATGGATTTTATCAATAACAAACAGCTCTCTTTTACTGTTACTTTTCATGCTGAGGTATGTCAGTTTAGTGATACAGTAATTTTAAGTGAATGACAGTCATAAAAGTTAAGACTGTAATTTGTATGGCAGTTAGCATTTTAGATATTATTTAAATAAGCCATAGCAACAATACGAACATAAAGTTCATTTAATATTAATAATGTTACCTAAGAAATGAGAACATGGCATAGATCTGCACAACATATACTAAGGTAAACAAAACCCACTAGCAATGAAGGTCTGTCAAGAGCCACATAGCATTTAGTTTTCCTAGTCCCAGAAAAGCAGCAAAATGAAGCCTGTGATGATCATAATGTTAGTTTCCTCAACAAGGTGTCTAGAAATCCTGGAACATTTGAGGATTCACATTTTGTCCCCAGGAGGCTAATTCCACTTGCTATTTTTAATCTTTCAAAAATTATATTTATTTTTCCCTTCATGAAAATGAACAGGCAGACAAAAAAAACAAAGCAATGACTCCAGCTTCCATCATCCTTATTTCCCGTAATGCATTTTGGACCCCATGTAATCCCAGAGACTTTTTAAAGAAAAATTCACATTCTCAGTTCACATAGCGCTGAAAAATGTCCTACTTGCAAAACATGTTTTTCAAAAAAGGAAGTTATTATCACTCTTGTCAGGAATCGAGAAAAAATAATGTGCAATTTAACATAATCTGAACTTTTTTATATGATTGACTTACCACTTTGTAAAGAACATATTTAGATGTGAAATGATACTGCAGCTTCTCAGATGAAAAACTAATAATCTAATCCTAGCAATTATCTTACATATTTCAATAATCTTAGAAAAATGATCTAAGACACTATCGTTCCATCAGTTTCAAATATGAATTTTCCCATATTTAGGATGTCAAACTGAAAAACTGAATTCTATTATCTTCTGAACATGTTATAGATTTAATATTTATGGACTTTTTATTCATATCCTGTTTACTATTACTGTCCCCTATTCTATTCCTCTTCTATTGTTTTGCTTGGTATAAAGAATTCTGTTTTTACATTTTTGTTACCCCCATAAAGGTATTACGTATTGTGGTGTTGTTTTTTTAATTTTTCCTCTTTGACATGGCTATCTTACAACATTTATAACAGGTTTTTTAATTTTTTTCAGCATAAATGTCATCAGAAAAAATATGAATTATTATTTATATACCGGTACTACATGACATTTACACTTATCAAATCATGGAAAAATGATTGTTGTTGTTCCATCGTTGTGTCCAACTCTTCGCAATCACATGGACCATAGTGTGCCAGGTCCCCTATTCTGTTATCTCCCAGAGTTTGTCCAAATTCATGTTCATTGCACTGATGATACTTTCTAACCAGGAAAACTATTAAGATGTTTTAAAGAGGTTAAAAGATTTTATTCTACAAAGTGACAGTTCTGTATTAAAAAAAGAAACAAAGAATTTGGATTCACTTTAAAGCTCTCAAATTTGTTAGGGCATATGCTCTTATAGGTTTCGTTAATAGACTATAGCCAAATTCATTGGTGGACTCTAGAGAAGTTTATGCCACAATAAACATGCTGTTTGTGTTATGCTATAAGACACAAGCAGACAGACAAGGAGCCTATTAAAAGCTATGAAGCTTTACATCACAGATGATTATAATGATCTTTCTGCAGAGCAGAACAAGACTGACTACATACTAGGAAGAATCCTATTACATCCCTTTCTTTCTCCTCCCTCTTCTAAGGCAGTATCTTACCAGAAGGATTATAAACTTTTCTCAAAAGCCTGTTGCGCAGCTCCTAGTTCTTTGCTCATCCAACCAGAGGTCTTTACGAATAGCTGAGAGTAGTGGGATAAATAACACAAAACACACAAACCAGATTTACTTAGCTCAAGAGATCAGGAGTACAGCCTACAGAATAACACTACAAAACTTGCCAGCAGTTCTAGCTGAAGCAGAAAGGAACTGACTAAATCACAGCATGACTTGCAGCTGACGTCAGTGTTGGTGTTGTTTGTGGAGTTTAAGTTTTCCAGCTCCACCACTGAAACACGATTCCAGGAAATATAGTGACGTCAGCTCTTTGAACTTGATTAGCTGTGGAACAGACCACTTTCAAAGAGAGGGGGCATAAGATAATAAACCACCAGCCAAAGGTTTGCTAGATTCAAGACCCTATTATTGCTGTAGTGAGCTGACTAAATGAATGCTAAAAGAGTAACTGCAGAGCTGAACAAAGCACACATTGCCACTAGATTTCTGCTAACAGAAGCTTAACAAGTAATTTTTCATTCACACCAAAGTTAAATAGAAAGCATTGAGAGAGATAAGTTGCTGGTTTTTCATGCTACCTGATTAATGACTGCAATAAAGTTAAGTGAAGTCTTCACTACTAAAGAAAAATATTTTATTCCAAGCTGAGCTTGCAAGAAAAAACAATTTTTAAATAGCAACCAGTTTCACCTCCTAAATAACATTTTATCATGCACTATAAAAATAAAAAGTAGCAATCAAGTGCTGCCAATCAATAATTCTTTGAGAGCCTTTTAATGAAAAAAGGGGGAGAACTGTGATGAACCTGATTACGTCTGGGCTGTCAAACATCTCACTGAAGCAAACAGGATTGCCGCACCCCAGCCTGAGTTCTGTCTTTGGAAAGAAGCATAGGGAATCACCTACCAGTTTCATCTCTTGTTACAGCCATGACCACAGCAGCTCGTGCTCAAAGGCTTCACGTCTGCCACCAAGTGAACAGAAAATTTTCCAAACAAGCAAACATGTGCGGGATTACAAGCTTCAGGACTGACATCAGAATGACCTCACTAGCCTACCCCGTCATTAATGTGCTTTCTCACTGGAACAGCCCTTTGAAACAGGAACTGGGGGGAGGGGAGACTAACTTGCAAATAACTGCTTTGGCATTTTCAGCTTTGCTCTCCTTTTCAATATATTAAAACACCCACAAACCAAGGGAATCAACCATAAATCAAGCATGCCAGATTTATTTGTAGCAAAGAAGGAAATCTCTGCAAACGCTTTTCAAAATAAGTTAGTCTGGAAGCTGCACTTTAAACAATACTGCAATCCCACCCCAGGAGAAACAGTTTTGTTCCATATCTTAATTTAACAACAGTGAAGACAACAACAGTACCAACCACTATTATTGATTGTAGTTGGTTGCACAG